CTTCGAACCATTTGACTTGGAAGGAGGGTGGGGGGGGGGATGGATGAACATGAGTCAACAGGTAGAGAGAGATGGAGGTGATGATGATGGATGGCTGCAGTTCAATACAGGGTGTGGGTTTATAACACACACACAGATATCACTACCACACAGTAGGCACCGCATTTTTAGGAATGTGGTTTTATAATGTAATGATTTAAAGATTTTAAACGTTTTTAAAGGTATCATGGTATCAGTGGAAGTTTGCAGAATGTTCTTATATGGAGTTAAATGATCAATGTTACAAACTAGACCTTTAATGCTTAATGAACTGATGTTGGAATGTTTTGTCGGATGCTGGAAATAAATTAGCAGTTTGTCGGATTTTTATCGGCAGTGTTTTCTAGCGCAGATCAAAGAATTCTATTGATTGGAGACACAGATGAATAACCAGTAAGAGGCTGAGCGCTGCGACTGGAGACAAAGAGATACACAAATAGTATGCAGAGACACAGAAATAGACAAGCCACACACCAACAGGAACCCACAGCAACACTCAGGCAAAGAGATAATTGTTAGGGAAGACAAAGGGAAAAAGAACAGAAGAAAATACTGTACTTCTGGTCAAAGAGAGCGACACTCGTTCAGGTTTCTCTCCAAGAAACACTCAGTTTTGACTTGTGACTGAAATTCAACGTCATAAACCAGCAACCAACCGCAGAAACCAGAGACCACCAGGATGGTGTCGCAGGTGCACACTCCCACTGTACTGATGAGCACGCCAACGTTTTTCACTCATCTGTCAGTGTTTCACATTTGAGCTCCCAGAAAGAAACTTCTTTGATCTGTTGGAAGTGTTTTGCTTCTCTGAGACTTCTAGCAGCGCCTCAGCCCTTTTTTCAGTCATTTGCAACTGTAACTTATTTATGTTTTGAGATAATGCAGCCCATTCGACGTTCAGTGTCATCGAAAGCAGAAAAATACTAACTGCATGGGAACTGTCAGCTCTCTAATAAAGGCATGGAAATACCAACAGCCAGTTGTCCTTGAGCAAGGCAGTCTACTGGCTGACCTCTGACTCGGAAACCAAATTGGTAGATTTTGGAGACTGAACGACTCACTGTCAATTCAAACCTTTTGACCAGTCAAAAAAAAAGTGGACAATTAAGTGAGATTTTCTTGTGTGTTCTTGAATGGCCATTTATCACTTCCTAGGTTTCCGTTGTCTGTTTAGGTTATCGTATCGTTAGCTTTACAAAGTTCGGCTCTATGTTGGCAGTCTAGTTGGTTCGGTGTGTAATAGCGGTGAGGAATTTGGAGTTGGTGCTTTATGTCCGTTTCACTGGGCACAGCTTTGTGACGTTTGTGACGTCTGCGATGCTGTTTTGCGTATGGCGTGTTAGAACCACCCGAGTTTGTTGACTTTTTCTGGTCATTGCCTTCCCTTGCTTTCTGCTTCTACCTGAGTAAGTATCATTCAACTACTTAGCGTTGTTAAATGATTTCTTTCTTTCTCTGTTTTTACAATCGGGAGTCTGCGCAAAAGTGCTTTATTTTGAAAATTGACCGGATTCTCTCTGCCATTCCTGTGTCTGGCTTCCTGCCTGGCTTGATCTACTCTGTGCAGATCTATTGCGTCAAATATAGACTCGCAACGTCTTTCTCCACAGAACAGAGTGGAGAACTGCTGCAGCGCTTCTGGTGGAATCACAAGCGTTGTCTAGAATGACAGCAATCAGCTCTGGTGGCAACGTCACAGCTGGAACCCGTGCCCGGTGGAATAAAGCAGTAAATTCTTCATTTGCAGGCTGCGTGACTTCAGTTT